GGCCAAAACATTTTTTCAGATTTTTCCTAATAACTAGGGTGAAGGTGTGACCTACCTGCCAAGTTTGAACGAAATCGGCCAAGCCAAAAAAATCACAGAAGAAATAATACGTGAAAACACTGGAAATGTACACACACAACCACACAAAAAACGACAAAAGTGATTATAAGGGCAATCCTAGCGGAGCGGATCGCCAATATTACCTACATGTATTCTTAATTTTAAACGCTTTGTTCAGTTTTAATTCAAGTGTTGTGGGCTCAATTCATGCAAGCTTGTCCATGTACGAGTATACTCATCTAATATTTCATGAACATGCCTGGGCATACATGTACATTCATCATATTCAAAATTTGATAAAAAAAATGACATAATTCTTATATGCATGTAAATATGTACATTAATTTAGTTTTGGGTCCGATGCGTATATTTCAATGTGTTATCAACTGTTTTCCTGGCATGCCTCAGCTAATTTTATTAAAACTTGGTATAAACATTTTACATAGTCATTTACTGATGCACATCAATTTCTGTGGTTTTCTAATTTAATGTATAATTACTGTATTTATCTGAAAAATTGCCTGGGCGATGTTTTAGATACTGGGTCATATTTTGGAGGATCACCAGTTGTAAAACATTGCTTATGCTTTCTTGTACAGAGTTCGGTCTTCACTTGGTACCATAAAAACCATTAATTCCTGCACTCAATTCAATTTAAAAAAAAATTAAATGTAATCTTGTGTTCAAAAAAGGTTTATATTTAAAAAAAGAAACATGTTGTAAAATGTGGCATCCTGATGTATGCATCTCCTTGTGTCTCTGGTGATCCCTACGTACTGAAGATCGCTTCTTTTTGATTTCAGCAAAATGTACAAGCTTTAATCTTTTTTAATCAAGACATAAATGTAACTACAGGCATGTAGAAAGGAAAAAGTTGATTGGAATAGGTGCTTGTTCCTGTTTCAGTACAAGCTCACTAGGTTGACAAAGCTTTCAGTTGCATAATTTTGATCTAAATTAGTCTAACAATGAACTTGCATCATATTTTTTTTGCCGTAACTTGTCACAGTGTTATTTTTTGAAAGAATTGCGAACTTTCTACAAAGCTCCATTGGGCTGACACTGTCAACATGTGTGAATTTCCTGCTAAACCTGTCTAGCTCATGTGTATCCTAATAATTCATTCTCTTGAAAAAAAAAACATCTTAAGTTATCTCTCCTACAAAGTTATTTTTTCCAGTGTGTATTTGTTATTGTGGCATCCAAAGATTGCCCAGGTGCCAAAACATCGCCCACTAGTGATCTATCTTTTATAGTGGGCAATCTTTCAGACACATACTTATATACAGTAAGAGACGCATTTAATTAAAATGGATTCAAAGGCATTGTGTAAAGATTAACCCAATATAGTTTTGTATATGTGCCCTTCAATTTGTTCATGGGTTTTAACAAACAGGGAAACCTTGTTTCCAATAACTCCAAGCAAATACTATGTCAATGTAATGATGTTGTAATTTTAACTCTTTGTTTGTTGATTACACTCTAATTTAAATGCAGCTTTATTGCCCATTAACATTTTGAATTGTTATGGATTTATAGGTTGTTTATGGCAGTATATTAGCTACACTTTATCAACCACCATGTGATCCTAATGTCACCGCACCTCTTCGAAAGAAAGCATGTTTTTCTATTACATTAACAGAAGATGGCAGAACTGAATTAAGGTGTTTGAAAGGTCCCAAAGGTCCCCATAAATGTGTCATCACAAGTGTAAGTATCACAGCATTACATTTTCATTCATATGTAAATCACATATAGTTCATCTGTCTGTCCAAACATGTCCATACATGTGCATTCATGTATGTCACTTAATATTTATCTGTCTGTCCATACATGTGTGTGTCACTTAATGTTCATCTGTCTGTCCATACATGTGCATTCATGTGTATGTCACTTAATGTTCATCTGTCTGTCCATACATGTGCATTTATGTGTGTGTCACTTAATGTTCATCTGTCTGTCCATACTCATGCATTCATGTGTATGTCACTTAATGTTCATCTGTCTGTCCATACATGTGCATTCATGTGTGTCATTTAATGTTCATCTGTGTCCATTCATGTATATGTCACTTAATGTTCATCTGTCTGTCCATACTCGTGCATTCATGTGTATGTCACTTAATGTTCATCTGTCTGTCCATACATGTGCATTCATGTGTATGTCACTTAATGTTCATCTGTCTGTCCATACATGTGCATTCATGTGTATGTCACTTAATGTTCATCTGTCTGTCCATACATGTGCATTCATGTGTATGTCACTTAATGTTCATCTGTCTGTCCATACATGTGCATTCATGTGTATGTCACTTAATGTTCATCTGTCTGTCCATACATGTACATTCATGTGTATGTCACTTAATGTTCATCTGTCTGTCCATACATGTGCATTCATGTGTATGTCACTTAATGTTCATCTGTCTGTCCATACATGTGCATTCATGTGTATGTCACTTAATGTTCATCTGTCTGTCCATACATGTGCATTCATGTGTATGTCACTTAATGTTCACCTGTCTGTCCATACATGTGCATTCATGTGTATTTCACTTGATGTTCATCTGTCTGTCCATACATGTGTATTTCATTTAATGTGTACCTCGGAACATTTTTAGTAGTCCGAATTTTAAAAACCTTACGGATTGCGCGGTCGAAAATAAATCGGAAATTGTCCGATCAAACAAGCGGTCGCAAAAGTGAGCGAAAAAACAAACAATTGAAGAACTGAAGTGGGCGGGAGGTTTGGCGAAATGAGTACTGTACTTCTTTGTTTGATGAAGCGATGCTGATGCCACATTGTCGGCATAATGAGACCACAATGAAGCAAAGCAATAACCACCTCAACTCCTTAATGTTGTGACATTGAAGCGACGCTGAAGACATAACAATGCCATAATGATGCGATGCTGAAGCGAAGCTGATGCTGAAGCGAAGCCAAAGCTTTTGCAATAACTGTACTGTATATTGCAATATATAATGGGTTATATGCTATTTTCATTTATTTTTTCGTTTTCATTGAAATTTAGCCAAATGGCGGTCATTTTCGTCAAAAACAAATGAAATCACAAAATTCAAACACATCGTCAACCGTTTTTTGGACATGCAGTAATGTAAACTTGATGGAACCACAGTGTGCATGATCAGTGAAAGTAATGTAAACTTGATGACACCACAGTATGCATGTTGATTATTGATCAAGCATTGTTTTCTATGAATCCTAATTAACCTATTAGTGAAAGTAATATGAATTTGATGGTTCCACAATGTGCATGTTGATGATCAATCAATCATCATCTACTGAGTATATGAACATCACATCTGATGCAGGACTGCTGCAAATCAGTTTTGAATGTTGATCCTTCTGTCTGTCATTTCTTGTGCATGCCTGGACCAATTTTTTTTTTCCAAAGTTGGTACATCACATGTGAATATTGCTTTGTTTTATTTTGTTGACCTCCAACTGACAGCCATTAATTGTCCGAAAAAATCAACATTAGCACATGTCATTAACAGTTTCTCGGTCATGCCTTGTCCAATTTCTCTCAAACTTAGTCTTTATACCTGTTTCATGCACATTTGTAACTAATATGCTAAATACTATCCCAATATTTAAACATTATCTGACTATGCCTTTCATTGTGTGACAAAGTCACTAAAAACATGACTGGGACTATGTTTTGATCACTATTTTGAGTATGTTCCATTTATGACAGAGCTTTGAAATTTGAAGTGCCAAAAACAATTTATATTGTGTATTTTATCTTAAAATTAGTAATTTCTTTCTCAAAGCAGGATGATATGAAAGAATCATTTTGTGCCAAATGTTGTAAACCAGACAAGCACAGACATGAAGGAGGGAGAACTGAGGTGACCAATCATTTTATTCTATTTGTTGTGTTCTAGTATTCAAGAATTCATGTTTAAATGATGTTAATAGGTGAATCATTCTTTCAGTCTTCTGTCATGTGATGAATTTGTAGTTTTGGGGACATACTACAAACCTTGCACAGTGGCTTATCCTGTTGCCTTTGGATGATGCAGCCATTGTCTTAAAAATTTACCATCTTATTTCATGATTTATTACTATTTACTATATAATATATTATTATTCATCTGTCACTGTAACGCTGTAAGTTTACAGCGTATTTTCATTCTCCCATATAAGGAAATGCGAATTTCAAATATGGAATTATTACGCACGTAAGCGTCCTCTTATAATAAAAACAAACATGGCTGCCACCTGGGTTTCACTGGACTCTCCACACAAAGAAGTTCCTAATTCTGTTCTAAACTTTTTGGATTTCGGCATTCCCATAGATGGAAAAGATGTATAATAATAAGGTTATTACAAGGATACCTCAAAGTAAGTACCAAGTATGCCGTCACATCAACCTCCGCTGTGCATCAGTCAATATTTCCACTGTATTGTCTTTGTGCATACTTTGAGGTATCTTCGTAATAACCTTATATTATACTAAGAGTGCCATGCTGGTTCCTCTGTTTTTTAGGGTACCATACTGGTTCCTCTGGTTTTCTAAGGGTACCATACTGATTTTTCTGGTAAACTAAGCATACCATACTGATTTCTCTAGTTTTCTAAGGATACCATGCTGGTTCCTCTGGTTTTCTAAGAGTACCATACTAGTTTCTCTGGTAAACTAAAGGTACCATACTCATTTCTCTTGTAAACTAAGGGTGCCATGCTGGTTTCTCTGAATGGTACCATGCTGGTTTCTCTGAATGGTTCCATAATGGTTTCTCAGGTAAACTAAGGGTACCATGTCTGTTTCTCTGGTAAACTAAGGGTGCCATGCTGGTTTCTCTGAATGGTACCATGCTGGTTTCTTTGAATGGTACCATAGTGGTTTCTCAGGTACACTAAGGGTACCATATCTGTTTCTCTGGTAAACTAAGGGTGCCATGCTGGTTTCTCTGAATGGTACCATGCTGGTTTCTCAGGTAAACTAAGGGTACCATATCTGTTTCTCTGGTAAACTAAGGGTGCCATGCTGGTTTCTCTGAATGGTACCATGCTGGTTTCTTTGAATGGTACCATAGTGGTTTCTCAGGTTCACTAAGGGTACCATATCTGTTTCTCTGGTAAACTAAGGGTGCCATGCTGGTTTCTCTGAATGGTACCATGCTGGTTTCTCGGGTAAACTAAGGGTACCATATCTGTTTCTCTGGTAAACTAAGGGTGCCATGCTGGTTTCTCTGAATGGTACCATGCTGGTTTCTTTGAATGGTACCATAGTGGTTTCTCTGGTAAACTAAGGGTACCATACTGGTTTCTCTGGTAAACTAAGGGTACCATACTGGTTTCTCTGGTATACTAAGGGTGCATGCTAGCAATGTTTTCAAAATTATGAGTATTTATTAACATTTCTATTTAAGGTCCCAACTTTTGTGTTATACTGGCATTAATTATTATACTTTTTGTAGGAACTTCAAGCTTGGTTAGAAGAAGAGCTTGGAAATTCAGAAGAATTTTTACATGATCACATCCAAGAGTTATTACTTATGAAATTTATGATTAAAAGTCAGTATGAGTAGGTATTGTTTATGATTGCTATAACTATTGCTTCATAATTACAGTGCTCTTTAGAGTCAGTAATATTCATGCTCACTATAAAAATATAAGGAATTAAAAAGAATCTCTGAAAATGGAAAACAATGGAATGTTGGTAAAATTGACAACTGTGACTATCATTTTAGTACGGCATCAGGGATTATCAAGAATATGGTACATGCACGTCTGAATTTTGGTGTTTAATTCTAGAATTTGACATTTCAATGTAAAGTTCAACACAGGTATGAGCCCTGCAATGTTATGGTGACAGTGCCCTCTAAAGTTCATCTTGAGGCTCTTGTTTTTGTCTAATACCGTAGTTGTCCGGGTAAGTGCCCATGCCCTGGCAAACGCCCACTTTCCAATTTTGATACAATAAAGGAATTGAAGTCATGTCAGGGTATACGCCCAGGTGGTCTTTCTACACTTGTAATAACAAAATTAAAAAAATCTATTTGTTTGTTTGTTGTAATTGACAGTTGAATTCTTTGCAGTCTGTTGTGATTGTGATGAAAATACTTGTAAAATAAATGTCAATTGCGTAAAACATTCTGCTTTCTTTGCATGGCACGTAATTTACTTTTATGTTTCAAGATTTTTTTATCAGAATCGTAGCAGTCAGCAAGTCAACAAAATGTATATTAAAGCAGAAATGGTAGTTATTTTTTTTTTAAATACGTTGTGGCCCTGAAAGGGGCCGGCCGTTTGGTTTGTTTCCTGAGAAACGATTCAAACAAATTGCAGAGCCGCAAAGGAAGTGCTGCACATGTTGGGCTTTAACGTCATCAACAATGAAATGAGTGTTGCAATATTGTAGCAACCCATACCTGAAATCACGTTATTTGGTAGCAGCTAGCGAATCCATAACTCTTGTTTTTGTGTAGTATATATGAGTTTCAATAAAAGTACTTCTGTGTCATGGTAAAAGTTTGTATTTCCAAATAACAGCTAGATTCAAAAATGTGATTCTGAAACAGTTATACACTAAACTATTGGATTCATTGAGTGATTCTGGAAATAGAAATAGATAGAAATTATGTAACTGATTCTATGTATGGTGTCTCATTGTTATTGATGTGTAGAATAAACATGACAATATTAATATTGTGGTTGAAATATTATTTCAATTTCTTCTTCAAAACCGCAAGTCAGAATGATTTCAAATATGATATGCAAGTACCTTGGATGGTTCTTTTTTTGATTTGTTCATTTCATGTCAAAATCTCAAATTTCAAATAGATTTTTGGTGAATATTTTTGTTTTTCGGTAAAAAGTGATATTTTCGACTTCTTGTCAAAAAACGCAATTCCGATTGCTTATATGTTATACATATAGGTACTACAGGTAAACCTCTCAGATTTGTTCATTTTGTGTGGATATCTTGAATTCTCTAATTTTGATGAATATTTTTGTCATTTTTAGAAAAAAGTGTTATTTTCGACTTCTTGTTAAAAACCATAAGTCCATAAAACCATAAGCTTTGATGTTACATATATAAGTGCTACATGTAGACCTCTCTCAGATTTGTTCATTTTGTGATGATATCTTCAATTCTCTTATTTTGGTGAATATTTTTGTAATTTTTGGTAAAAAGTGATATTTTCCCTATTTTTGTGAAAACCGCAAATCTCATTGCTTTGATATAATATATATAAGTACTACAGGTAGACCTCTCTCAGATTTGTTCATTTTGTGATGATATTTTCAATTCTCTAATTAGTCCCCGTTCGGACACAGTCCGAAAACGGGGACTTATGCTTTGACCTCCGTGTGTCCGTGCGTGCGTGCGTATGTGTGTGCGTCCGGACCTGTATCTTAGAAATGCCTGGACCAATCACAATCAAACTTCACACATACATCATACATGATATTATACATATGCACGTCAATTTGTTTCACGATCTAATTTCAAGATGACCGAATGGCGGCCATTTTTGTGCTAAAAAATTCTAAAAATCAAGCATTTCTCGACTGTTTGCAGATGGATTTTGTTCAAACTTGGTATATACCTTGATGCAAATAATTTTGTTTTTCAGATAAGATTCAAAATGGCCGACTGTTTTCAATGAATGTGGTTCTCTTGCCATATCTCTGACTTGCTTTCACTGATTATGTTCAAATTTTAAATATTCATTATACATCATGTCATAGATAGACAGATATATTGGTTTGACGATCCTATTCAAAATGGCCAAATAGTGGCCATTTTTGTGCTAAAAAAATCATCAAATATCAAGCATTTCTCACATTTATGGATGGATTTCGTTCAAACTTGGTACATATATTAGACATTACAGGTTCCTGATGCACATCATTTATTTTTCAGATCGAATTCAAAATGGCTGTCTGGCGGCCGTTTTGTTTTAATGAATGGGCTTCTAGATCTATATCTCCGACTTGTTTTGACTGATTATGTTCAAATTTTAAATATTCATTATACATCATGTCATAGATAAACAGATATATTGGTTCGAAGATCCTCTTCAAAATGGCCGAATGTTGGTGATTTTTGTGCTAAAAAATAATCAAATATCAAGCATGTATGGATGGATTTCGTTCAAACTTGGTACAAACATTAGACATTAAGGGTTCCTGATGCACGTCATTTTATTTTTTAGATTGGATTCAAAATGGCTGACTGGCGGCGATTTTGTTTTAATGATTAGGCTTCTAGAGCCGTGTCTCTTAAATGCTTTGACTGATTATGTTCAAATTTTATATATTCGTTATACATCATGACTTTGAATGCTGTTCCAGAGCAATATCTCTCAATATGGACAAGTACTTGTTTGACGATCAGATACAATCATTTTAATGTTAAAAAATCATATTTCTGACATGGTTATATTCCAGCTATATTACTTTAAACAAAACTATATATCTTAAATTTAATAACTAACGGGCACTGTGTCATGCATGGCTTGTTTTAATAAATATTTTTGTCTTTTTTTTGGTAAAAAGTCATATTTTTGATTTCTTACTAAAAACCACAGGTCTGATTGCTTAGATACTATACATATAGCTACCTCAAGTAGACCTCTCTCAGATTTAGTGATGATTTCGTTCTTCAATTATCTAATTTTTTTGAATATTTTTGATAAAAAGTTATATTTTTGAATTTTTGTTGAAAACAGCAAGTCAGATTGCTTTGATACAATACATATTGTTTATTTTCTAATGATATCTTTAGTTCTTTAATTGAAATGTGCATTGCTAACAGCGGAGCTATCTCAGCCAACAGACTGCTTGTTTGTATTGTTTTGTCGATTGTTGTCAGTTGTTGGTTTTGTGTTCTTTGAATTTTGTACAAAAATCAACAGCGGTTAAATAGGTATATTATTTCCACTTTTCAGTATATCGTAGACAGTAATTGTTTACTTTGTAAATATTGGATTGTTAGGAAGCATGAGATTGTAATATAAATTTCATACTGTCGCATACGACTTATTTACCACTTCCGTGTCACTGAGAATGTTCTAGAACCGTACTGTGTCTGGGTAGAATATTCTAAATTTTTTTTTTAGAAACTGGTTGAATAGGTAATAGAACACTGTAGGAGGCAATAGAAGGTAATGGAACATTCTAGAAATTTATAGTAAATTCCGGACTCATTATGTATGCTGATGTAATGGTCTATTTATAGACAGTGTGGGTATATATATAGGGGAGTTTTTCAGCACTGAGTTCAGATCGGAGATCTTGTTGAATTGTATTGGAGTTTAAGTATCTAGTTATTCGAGTAGTGGAGTTTTACCGCGTTATTGTACTTGATGTTTGCAGAGTATAATAATACCAGTACCAGTTGAAACCTCATCTGTTGGCTCCTAGTTCGTATTTTATCATTGCCGCCAGGGAAGTCTTTCTGTTACTGTTGCCATTTTGGTATTTGAACCATCACCCCTGTACTATACCAATTACGGTAATATTACGTTGCGTGTGACATCTGGGGGCTCGTTTGGGAACAGTGAAGACATATAGAAGACAACATGGCCAGTGAGATAAAAGATATGTCGAAACAAGAGTTGATGAAATGGGCGAATGAACTGGGAATGACTGGAGAAGACAAAAGGAAATTTATTTTGGAGCAATTGAGTTCTAAGCGGGCTGACAGACAAGCGGCGAGGGAAGAGAGAAAGGCAAAAATGGAAATAGAAGTAGAGGTGAGGAAAATGGAGATTGTGGAAAGAA